TTTGAGGCGACAAGTGCTCTCTCTAAGAATAGATTGAAAAGGAACAAATGAGTGTATTCAGGTACTGTTTGAGTTTCCAGTTTTGCGAAGAAATACAAACTCTTGTTGTTTGAATTTTTTTCGGAATTTCGCTGAATCGCAGGTTTGCGAGAAAATATAAACTTTCTGATCTGATTTTTTTGGAATTTCACTAATTCGTTGGGCGCGTATTTACAAAAAACTAATCAATTACCATATTTACTCACAGTAAATAGTCGCACCTCTGTCGTTGATTACTTCCTGCAAGGTTGATTAACTCGTGGCATGTACGCTATTTAATGCAGATAAATATTGTCTTTTGCCAAAAACCGGGTGCTAAATTAGAATTGGAGAGTTTCCTCCTTTTCCTCCTCATTGATCAGTGGCCGCGGAAGCGGTGAGGACATGTGGGGACATCAGTATTGTAGGATAGGGGAGGGAGGGGTTTATATAAGATGGGCAGATGATGGGGACATCGAACAACCGTGGGGACATTGCCCCTCTGTCCCCTTAAGCTTCCGCGGCCACTGTTCCTACCCCTCCTCCTCCTCTCATGCTGTTATATAAGTTAGTTAGTCGTATAGTTGGAGTAGAATTGAGTCGAGTGTGTCAGCGTGATTGAATTTATGACTCTTTAGTTGTTTTGGTTTGTAATAAAGTTGAGCTAATAAAATCAGCGAATTGGAAGGGACAGATAAAATTCCGTGTCTCCACGTTTCAGCCTCCGCTTCCTCGTCCTCCTCTTCGTGTGTGTAACACTTTGCAAGGTTTTTTTCTATCTGTGTATGCATCGTCGTTTTAGTATAAAATAAATAAAAATTGGCACTCGTGTACTTTTTATGTCTGTCTGAGGACACTTTACGAGTTACAATTTCAAAAAAGAAGGCTTCACTTTATTTTTATTGGGGTTATTTTGCAGAAAAAATATCCTACTGACCTTTAATTGCGGGCAACTACGTAGTGTAGGCAGTGGCCGCGGAGAGAGGGACAATGTCCCCACGGGTGTTCGATGTCTGCATCATCTGCCCATCTTATATAAACCCCTTTCTCCCCCATCCTACAGTGTTAAGGTCCCCTGATGTCCCCACTGCTTCCGCGGCCACTGTCTAGAGTTTGGGTAGCTGTTGTTCAGTCGCCGCGGAAAGATGGGGACAGAGGGACAATGTCCCCACAGTTATTCGATGTCCCCATTATCTGCCCATCTTATATAAACTCCTCCCTTCCCTATCCTACATTGTTAATGTCTCCTGATGCCCCCACAACTTCCGCGGCCACTGACCGTATATTTGTAACTTTCGCCCATTTAAAGCCTCTCTCCCTCTCTGATCTGCAGCAATTGTACTTTTGCACGAAATACGTAATTGCATTGTGAGAATTTAGTTACGTATGTTCATACAGTGAACGACAACCATTTGGGGACACAAGTCCTGATTTAGTTTGGGAATCTGGTTGGTTGGTGATTAATGTCGTGGGATTTTGGTGTGTCCAATTTCCCGTCTTCTTTCCCTTGTCATCAGTGCCCGCGGAGGCCGTGGGGACACCGGGGGTAATTAACAGGATAGGATAGATGAGCGAGGGGTTTATAATATAGGATTGATGCCGACATCGAATAACCGTGGGGATATTGTCCCTATGTCCCCACCCTTCCGCGGCCACTGCTTATTGTCATACGCAGGACAGCAGCAGAGCCTCGTCAACATGACATCATTATCCCTTGTCCACTGCTGCTAATACGGTTGTTACGACCGCGGAGGAATCCTCATCATCGTCACTCGTTAATACATACAAGACCATCAGTGGCCGCGGAAGCTGGAGGGGACATCTGGGGACATTAGCATTGTAGGATAGGGGGAGGGAGGGGTTTATATAAGATGGGCGGATGATTCGGACCTAGAATGAACGTAAGGTCATTGTCCCTCTGTCCCCATGCACGCTTCCGCGGCCACTGAACACCCACTATCACCCAATCCAATCCCCATTTCTGGGGTTGATTCAAACTTTCACTCGCAGAGAAAGCAGATGACAACTGGACATTTGATATCACCACATCAGTCAGATTTAGATTGGTTTGGGGATTTCTTGGAAGGGTGGCGTGGCAATAATACGCGGAAAAGGAAACAAAAGTAAACAGTAAATATTTGACGGAATGTCCACTCTTCTCGGGATGAGGAGGAGGATTATCGGGGTTAAAATTGTGCAATGTCCAACTGGGGAAATTGGTGGTGAGCGACAATAAAAGTGAAAGTTTTCTCGTTAAATGGACTTTCACTTTAACCATCATAATAATATGGGTACTTTGTTGGGCAGTGGGGGTAGTAATAATGATGGCCATTGTTAGTTGGTAATACAAATTAACGACGCATGTATTGTATGTTTTCTACGATGTGAGTCTATACATTGTAAATAAATGCTTTTCATGAAAATGTATTGGGAACAAGGTTTGTGGGAGGCTTTTCATTTACAGTGTTTCGGGTGAAAGTAAGTACTTGTAAGAAAGTGGGCTTTTTGTAGGTATTTTGACCTGCAAGAAATGCAAGGCGCGAGAAACGATGCCGCGCGGCACATACTTCATACGGTGGCTATGTGGCGCATATTTCTTGTACTTTCTCCCAGTTTCGCATATGAATTTCTTGCACTTTCTCCCAGTTTCTTGCACCTCGCATTTCTAGTAAGTTAAAAATATACCTAGAAAACCCGCAACAAATAAAATACTGATGCCCATTATTAAATACATTGGCGGCGGAAGCCAGAGAACAAGGGGACATTGAGAAAAATCGTATATTTTTAAGTTAATCCATAATGCTAATTTTCCACTTGAAGCGTGTGCCGCCACTGACTAAATCCTTTCCATGAAAATGTATCGTACGGAAGCAAGTTTTGTTTCTCTTTCCATTTAAATGAAAATGAAGTGACGAAGATGAACTAATGAAATATCTGGATGCAATTAATTGATTTCCCAGCAGAGCTTAAGCCAACTGTAGCAATGAGCATGGAGCGTTACGCAATTGTGACAAAGTGTGCTGTCACCGTGCCTCCTTTTTAATGGGAGTGCCGTGAATTGAATGCAAAATGTATGCACCACACTGTGTACATTTAGTTAGTAATCGTAATGTGAAATGGGATCATTTCCGGACCTAAATGACACAATCTTTTGGATGTTCAACTTAGTTGGCAATGGCAATCCACTTTCTCTCTGGGTATGAAAGTACGGGAGAAAATTTACTCGTGCCTCGGCCTGCAAAAGTCTGTAACATGAAGTGAAAGTAGTATCTACTCCGAAGCAGGGCTGGGCAAAATACAGTATTTTGAACAGCGTTATTAACAAGGTTTGTATTTTGTGGGCTGTTACACCCGTAAAAGGATGAGAATCTACGTGGAGAAAGCAACAGTCTTACGAAAATACAGGCTTTATGAAGAAATTGAGTTTTTATCACTGTCAAAGTTCTTGATTTTTTAAAAACTATTATAAAATACAGTGTTTTGCACTCTGCCCTTTACAGGATTTGGATTGTTAGGGTTGTCACACACAGGAAAACAGGAAAACAGGAAAATTTGCATCGAGAAGACAACAGTTTTACGAAAGTACAGTTTTTTTAAGAACTTAACTTTCTATCAGTGACCAAACAATTATATAAAAGAAATCGTGAAATAACATATTTTGGCCGCGATAAAAGGTTAATTTCTTGACAAAACCTGTTTTTTCGCACGACTGTTGCTTTCTCCATGTAAATTCTCGTCTTTTTGTGGGTGTGACACCCCTGGAAATCTAAACCCTTGAAAAAACGGAGCTAAAAATACTGTATTTTCACAAATTATTTTGCCCACCCCTGCCCCTCACTTCGTACACATGCAACAGACCGTCGTCATCACGTTGTGCTGCTAGAAGTCATTTGCTTTCTCCTCCTGAGCTGAAACTGGCCGGGTAAAGGCAAGGCTGTGGAAAATGGGATTTTCTATTTGCTTCAAATCACTAACACTAACCCAGCAACGGCAATTCTGCATTCAGGATTTGGACCAGACCATCATGTACGCCACCCTCATCACTGGGCTGCGTGTGCGATTTGCACCAGTGTCCCATTCTATTCAGGACATAATCGTTTCATGATTATTATGGCGTGTCTATCCCGTTTTGTACTTGGAGGATTGGGTGGTGCGCTTGACATCTCTTTTCTCTGATTCTGTGGTTGTGGTCGGCCTGTGGAGATCCTACGTCTTTCTCTCACCAGGCATTCCATCCCATCGCGATACATTTACTGATGCTTAAACTGTTTTATGCACCATTTTATTTCGCGAGAAATCTTTGTTTTGTACGGAATTGTGTGCAGTATGAAGGAGCAGAATTATGCAATTGATAAAGCGTAAAATAAGGAATTTTGCAGGGCGGTTTGATAGATATGTAAGGAAGTAGTGTTTGTTCAGCTAGTAAAGATTTTCGTGTCTGATAGCTTGAAATTTGTGATTTTGTGTACATAAAGATTTCGTCAGAATATTGAGATGGTCTATTTCTAGTTTTCGAGATGATAGCCAAATATGCGAATTTTGGTGTGAATTTTGAGAAGTTTTTTAATACTGTGATTATATTAGTTTCATGATAACAATTGTTAGAAAGTAGCCAAATTGTGCGAATCTTTTGCACCTTTTAAAATAATGTTTAATACTACGATTAGATTAGTTTCATGATAACAATTGTTAGATATGTAATAGCCCAAATGTGCGAATTGCTTGCGAATTTTGATAAATTTTTCAACTAGATTAGTTTCATGATAACGTTCGTTTCAGATATTTACTAGAATTTTCAGAAATTAGTTTTGATTCACTATACGTAAATATGTTCCGGAGGTAAGAGGAATTAAATTGGCGAATGGTAGAAATTTCAAATCCAGAAAAAAACATGTTTTCTCCGAAAAGTAGTCATTACTTCCGGTTTCATCCAGGTAACACAAACACCCCCACATAATTCAAGAGAAAACAAGCCAACATACCATAAATTAATTGTAGTCAGGCAATATTTGCGGTTTTTGTTGCAGGTGGTGGTACTGCCACTACTTCCTGGTCCGTACATATACTTAATTTGGATTCCGATCTATCTATATAGCGTAGCTACTACTGCAGATTTTATTTGTCTGTTTGGTCAGCTCAGCTCTGGTGGCACTATCCGCGAGATAAAATAACGCTCTTGTTCACAGCCTGCCGGATGACACACAGTCGAGCTTTCTCTGTACACACACAATGCAAGTCTTCTACACAATGAAGCCGTTGTTGTTATCGTGAGTCACTTTTCTTTTAAGAATGGCTGCGAGAACGGCACAGAACATTGCGACGAGTACGAGTAATCCCAAAACGACGTGGTCAAAAATCATTAAAACTGTTGGAGGCATTATCTCCTATATCCGAGTCTCTCTTTTCCTCTCGCGTCCACACAATAACAAAGATTTTAGCAGCACAGATTTTATCTAGGTATGAATTTGACTTTCACCACTAGTTTCCTCCTTTATGAACTCGTTACTTTCACCGCAGTCTCATATCAGAGAGATCAAAGCTCCAGAAGAGTCTGGGAATTTGCTGGGTACAACAAAATTCAACAGGAGAGAAAGTTGAGGTTCGTGCTCGGTGACAATTTCTCTCTACTTTCTTTTTGCCCCAATGAGTTATGGCTGTTTCTGATTTCTTGTTAATTGTAGTTTTTTTTGGGAGGGAGAGAATTCTTAGAGAAAGTTTTTGGGTTGCGTGCCGTTTTCTTTCCTCCTCCTCCAATTGTGTCGATAGTAATGATTTCTATTTTTATTTCGGGGGGAAGAGAAAGCTGTGAAAAATGGTCGTTGGAAAATGGAACGATTTCCTGGAGCGGTATGTGTAGTAGAATTTCCTCGAACCACGAACAGGACAGGGTCGCTTTCTCACCGTGCTAATGGTTTGGTTTTTGTGGGAGAGAGAAAGCAGAAGAGCGGTATCGTCTTGTCTTCTGTCAGTATTGTATCTCGTGGTTTAGTCTGACAGGGTGTGAAGTATGTAATGTAATGTAATTCCCGTGATAAAATAATGGGAGAAAGTGTGCCCACTTCTAATTCCAATCCAAAATGAGAAACAACACGCTCACTCACTTGGAGTCCGTGATTTTTCTGAGTTTGATCTTAATTCTCTTCATTAACGGGAAGGAAGGGAGAAAGTCTGAGGATGAAATATGTACTTGGGGGAAACTTTTTGTCGAAATATGGAGGATCAAAGTTTTGTGTATTTTGTGTTCTCAGGGAGGAATTTGTAAAGTAGGAAATGAACCTTATTTCTGGGATTTCCTTTACTTTCGCTTCGGGGGCGTATTTTTATTGGGCCCAGATTTTCTATTTTTGTCTTCTGTTTTAAAAAATTTGTCTCGTTTTGCCTGCCTGATTTTGATGAAGTAGAGGAGAGAGAGACAAGTAGTGAGTGGAGTGGGAGAGGAGAGAAGAAACCGGGTTCTGTAGATTGTGAAAGTTCTCACGAAACTGGGGGAAAGCGGGGAGAAAGCACGTCCCTAAAAGGGAAGAGAAAGTTGTGTTTCGGATTCAGCGAGTGAGTGAGAACATGCGAAACATGGGCAAATATAATACTTTCCATCCCTTATGAAGGAACGGACGGGCGGTGTATTAAACCAGCATACGTTGGTCCACGTCCAACTAGTAAGTAAGTTAGTAGATGGCTAAAGGTGGCTGGTGGTGGTACGGGTTGCTGCTATTATTATTATGATTATTATTGTCAAGGGTATGAATCATACTGCACAATTCGTCGCGTTTCTTGAGTGTCATCATGCAATGCGGGGCTGTTTTGAATAATAAATTTGATTTAGGCGGAGGAATGCGGATTACTGGAAGTTGATGTAACGGTTAAATAGCCACGATGTATGTATGTTTAGGGGGAAATGGGAAATGTGAGACGCGCCGTTAAAATGCAATTTGCTATGTTTTAATTCTATTTAAGTATATTTCGTATGTTACAAATGGGTAGACTTTCACTGCTCAGGGTAGAATTTTTAAGCATCAATTGTGTTATGTTACTGGATGGATTTATTTTTAGAATTGCATAAATTACGGCGCATTGCAGAACTTTAAAGTGTTTTAAATTAATGGTCTGTGAAAAAGGGAAGAAAAACAGTTTATGATAATGTTTTAGGTAAAAAATAAATAGGAAAAGGGCCCTTTTAAGCTAAGCAGGGGCCGCGGAAGGGTGTGGACAATGTCCCCACGGTTATTCGAAGTCCCCATCGTCTTTCCATATTATGCAAACCCTTCCCTCCCCTATCCTACAATGTTAATGTCCCCCCGATGTCCTCACGGCTTCCGCGGCCACTGAAGCTAACGTGGGGACAATGGACAATCGTGGGGACAATGTCCCCACGAATATATGTTCGACGTCGACATCATCATCTGCCAATCTCATATTATAAACCCCTCGCTCTTCTATCCTGTTAATGTCCCCCGATGTCCCCACAGCTTCCGCGGCCACTGAAGCTAATGTACGTATGCATGAGCAGAATAGCATAAAATTTATCGAGGACTTGCCCGTATTAATAAATCCGTCCTGCAGAATCGGTTTATTCAGTTCATATTGTTTCATTAGCTCGAAATCTCTCTGACGCATGTATGGATACGTGTGTAGACTATAATATTTATGAAATTGGTGTCGTAATAAACCTAATAAGCGGAAGTTATTTTAGGATAAATAAGAAAATTGAAAGTTGGGGTTGGCACTAAATTTGATTTTCTCTCTCGAGGAGGAGCGAAGAAGGAAAGGAGTGCAACATGCTCACGGAGAAAGTCTACTTACTAACCCAACCTTGAAACTTTCTATTTTAGCGCTGATCTATTTTCGTCTTGTCGAAGGATTTTAGTAGCCATATTAGACGAGCTTTCTCTCTCCGCTTAGGGCTTGTGGATTCAAAGTGGTGGTGGTGGTACTGGGAAACTTTGTGTAATATTTTCTCCCCTAAATTCTACCATGATAAGTGTCTTCCTCCTTCGTTGGATAGCTGCAGTGTATAAATTTCTGGGGCGAGAGATGATTCTGGTGCAACAATCTTTACCCGGTTGTCTGGTAGTGGTGGTGATGATGATGATCCTTTTTTAAACATTGCAGAACTGGTATTATTACCACAGTGCCACAAATTATGTGAAGTTTTAAAGTTGAGCGTTCCAAAAACGGTGTACGAATAGTCAATTTGCAAAGAGTGTACAAATAGTGAATTTGCAATGCACTATATATAATAAATACAACAAGGGAAGTTAGTTTTTATGTAGTTTGCATATTTACAAGACAATTATTGCAGAAAACTGGTATTCCTCCCGTTCCTGAAAACGTAAAACATTCCCGCAAAATCCATTCCTGACCGGAGTGACCGGCGCGGTAATAATAGTTATTACCGTTTGGTAACGTTGTAGTGCATAATGAGGAACTTAACTCAGTAACAAGCTACGACCAATCCGGGAGGAACTTACCACCAAATCAATACCATGTAGTATAGAGTGTATAGATTACCAGCTATTTTTACATTATACAAAAACTAACTTCCCGTCAAGTACACTATTTTTATCCGTACGGATAAAAACATTTAAATATTTAGCTAATGAAGAGATGGAGAAAGTCAGCCTGAAATTTCAGAAACTATGAGATTGTCGAATCAGGAGCAGAGTGATCAAGGAGTCAGAAAACGGAGAATGCATATTATTTATCTACGTTCTTCTTCTAGCTGTTCTCGTTGGAACAATCATCTTTATTTTATTTGATGGGCATTCCCTCTCCTCTCTGGCATTGATTTCATTTGGTTTTGGAGAAAGTCAATATTAGGCCAGGAAAAGCAGAGATGGATGAAATGTAGTGTAAACCAAGCAAGTGTACGTAAGTACGAACAAGGAAGTGAGTGAGTGGTGGTGGTGATGGTCTGGTGTTGCGTCCTCCTTTGGTGAACGTGAGACCACCATTTTATTATATTCCATTACTTACAGATTCTGTGTCCAGTGGCCGCGAAAGCCGGGGGGACATGTGGGGGCATTAATATTGTAGAAATAGGGGGAGGGAGGGGTTTGCAAGATGGGCAGATGCTTGGGACATCGAATAACCGTGGGGACATTGTCCCCTTCCGCTTCCGCGGGCACTAATTCTGTGTTCACTACGGGAAAGTATTGTAAAATAACTGGCTGGATAGGATAGACTTAAATTCAAAATCTGACTGCTTTTAAGTTTATTACGGGTGATTATGAGATTTTCAGAACAGCGCCGTAGCACACGTTATCACAAATAACATTTATTGCACCATTTAACACTAGTTTATTTTATTTTGGCGTAAAAATCATTCAATTACCTAAATTCTTGACCAGAATTGAATAATTTAAACGCCAAAATAAAATAAACGAGCGTAAAATAATTGGATAATTCGGCACCATTACGGCGCTGGTTTCTCGGCTCTGTCACATGATCAGCAGATTGAGTAGAGCGGAAGATTTTTTATCCTATTCAGCCAGTTATTCTACAATAGCTGGAGCGACGAAGGGCCAAGAAATTATGTGCAGTGGTCGCGGAAGCTGTGGGGACATTATCGGGGGAGGGAGGGGTTATACAAGATAATGAGGACATCGAACAACCCTGGAGACATTGTCCCCCTGCGTCCCCTCAAGCTTCCGCGGCCACTGATTCCATGTTCAATACGGGGAAAGTAGCTTGCGTTAGAGCGACGAAGGGCCAAGAAGGGCGGAATCCTTAACCAACTTTGGAGGCTGAAAAGTACGTTGTGCGAGCGAGCTGCTTCTGGTGAAGGAGAAAGCGAGAGGAAATTGCCAAGTCATAGTTGAGACTGGAGATTCCGAGTCTAAAGACTAAATGCGATTTGTTACCGGGAACTTGTTGGATGCCTGCTTGTTGGTATTCCTCTCTTCTCCTCTCTTCTCTCTCCTCCTCCGTTGGTTTTCAGGACTCGCTATGAATTTCCGAAACGCGTTGGTTTGCGAGTGGAGGATATTTTCCTCTACAAATGATAAATGATAAGCGATTGCCTATACATACTTGGTCGCAAAGTAGTCAATACTTCATCCTCTCTTTTACCGATCAGTTTACATTTTAAATTACCTTCGTTCCACACACATATGTATGTTTCGTGTATGTGTGTAACTTTGTTAGGGCCGCGGAAGGTGTGGGGACATGAGGGGACATTAACCTCTTGGCTAACAAACTACACACATTTGTGTAGCAGATTATTTTGGGTGGAGGGCCAAGTACACAAATGTATTTATACTGCATAAATTACCTTGATGCCAAAATTTCTCAAAAAAGCGAAAATTTATTTGCTATTTTGCGGAAAATTCGATAGTAAAAAGTGGATTTTTGTCGATATTTTTCTTCTGAAATTTTGGGATTTTCCCTATACCGACCAATGTTAAAAAGTGGATTTTTGGTATTTTTCGTCAAAAAAACTCAACAATTGGAAACCAATTGAAATTTTAATTGGTTGCTTTCAGGTATAATTATAAAATCAGTATGGCACTGAAGGGATATTTTATTAAAAAATTAGTAGTTAACATTGCAGGATAGGGGAGGGAGGGGTTTATATAAGATGGGGAGATGATGGGGACATCGAATAAGCGTGGGGACGAAGTCCCATCGCTTCCGCGGCCATTGTTTGTTATGCGGATGATGTTTACGGAGAAAGCAAGCGGCATATGACAAACACTTGTATGCGTACAAAATTTACATAGATAAATTCGAATTTGAATTTCCCTCGTTCTTTTTCAGATTTGAAAATAAGTAAGTAGATTCTTGAAATTAAATCAAATAAATTTGCGATTTTATTGCGAATCTGGGTATCAAAATGAGCCAATAAGTAAGTTTATAACTCGCTGGCACATGATGGAGAAAGAAAGAAAGAATGAAAAATTCAACCCAACTTTTACCTGCGGTTCTCATCAAAAAGCATTTCCGTTTGGACTGAAATATTCCGAATTCTGTCCAAATTCAATACTTTTCCCGTTTCGAACTGCATAATCACGCATTATTTATTCCAACCGGGACAGGAGTGAGTCCGACTTGGGGGAGGTATGTGCATCTAAATATTTAGCTGTATGGTTGAATTGTGTGCTCTTCTTCCTGCTTTTGACTACTGAAATTCCGTTTTACAAGACTTGCACAATATTTGAATGCAGAAAGATGAACTTTTTTTCTCCCTGTAATCTTGCTGCACATGAAATTCTACTTTTTTCCACCGCAGAGTTTTTTTAGTTTATGTAGTGAAGGGAGGAATATTGAGGAGGACGTGGTTATATAATATCCTGGAAAAAGAGGCGGAATACATAAGTTTGCAATACATTTTAAAACGCATTGCATTAGTGTTTCGGGTGAAAGTACATAACCACTGCAAGAAATACGGGAAAGAAAGCGGTTTCTTGCAGCTATTGCAAGAAATGCAAGAAATCACGCTCCTCCGCTATACTTCGTACATATTTATT